GAAAGGTGCAGACGTTTTGGTATTGATAACACCATTTTTCCCTACATCCACCTCCACCCTCTCCTAATTTCTTTCCTGACGAGAATATTTCACCAACTTTCACACTTGATTTTCCTACGAAATTGTATTTTCATATTTTTTTTAACGTGAACGCCTCGTTTTTTCCTGAAGTTTGATAGAAAAAAATTGTGATCCCAGTTTGAAGCAGCCCCTAGGCTAAGTTTGTGTCGTCTTCAACTTTCAGTGAATTTCATGGAAACAACGGCTCGGCTAACGGTTAGGCGGCTAATGGTTATTGATTTCTCCGCTAATGGCGTCAGGGTGACTCGAGACGCTTGTTGCAGCAACTTAGCGTCCGGCACTCGAGGAACCCATCATAGAGACTTTAACAAAGATGCCGGAAAATTCCGGCAAAATGTTGTCGGGAAACTTGTCAACAAGGCGGGTGGGGGAGGGGAAGGGAGAAAACTAATAAAGGGAGAAAATAAATAATATACAAGGGGGAGAGAACTAAGTTTAGGACCAAGAGGAGGTGAGTTGTCAATGGAGATGGTTTGGATAGCGGGATGGAACGGTAATGAGAAAACTGGGACACTAGAGGAGATCTTTAAAAACTGAATGGTTAAGTTGAATGGTAGCGGTAGGTGACACAGTGGTCAGATGACTTGATTACCCTAGCCTAGTGGTGACATTTCTAGATGGGTAGGTGACACAGTGGTCAGATGACTTGACCACCTCTAGTGGTGTCATTTCTAGATGGGTAGGTGATACAGTGGTAGGTGATATACTGGTCAGATGACTTGACCACCCCTAGTGGTGTCATTTCTAGATGGGTAGGTGACACAGTGGTCAGATGACTTGACCACCCCTAGTGGTGTATCTGTTGTACCGATGTACGAACACCACCTATTGTACCGCTATACGAACCTCGCCTGTTGTACGAACCTGACCTGTTGTACGAACCTGACCTATTGTACGAACCTGACCTATTGTACGAACCTGACCTATTGTACGAACCTGACCTGTTGTACGAACCTGACCTATTGTACGAACCTGACCTATTGTACGAACCTGACCTATTGTACGAACCTGACCTGTTGTACGAACCTGACCTATTGTACCGATGTACGAACCTGCTACTGGAACCATCTCAACCTCTCGTGGAGAAAACCTCTCCTGGAGAAAACCTCTCCTGGAGAAAACCTCTCCTGGAGAAAACCTCACCTCCTGCGAGCAGTAGAGCCGCTCCAGGCAACAAACCCCGACTCGTGACGTCATACTTAGATCCCATCTGTCTACCTGCGCCAGGTGAAAATAAACCGTAACCAGATCGTGACGTCATCGGAGCCGTGACGTGAATGGAGCGGCTCCGTGGAGAGGGGATTTAACTCGAGGCGGGCAGTGAGGAGTTGTTTCCCTTGCGTTAAGCTTCGCTCCATTTCCTCCCAGCTGTAGGTGAGAGGTCAGAAATCGATTGGCTTTTTACTTTTTTTTTCAGTGATAAATCTGAAAGTTGGATTTAAATTGTGCGGCTCGGGAGGAGTTGATTAGCTCAGCTGATTGAGGGAGGAGAGTGGGTGGAGGGGGCGGTGGGGGTGGATGAGAGAGAGAATGGGTGAAGTAGGTTGGTGGGTAGAAAGGTGGGTTCACGGGAGAGATATTTGAGTAGGTGAGTGATGAATGATGAGTGAGTAAGTGGGTGAGTGAGTGAGTGATAGTTGAGCGGGGTATCATGATATAGTGTTTGTGTGTGTGCGTGCGTGTGTCGGCAATGCGTGTGTGGTTGTATACGGTTGTATAGCAAGCCAGTCTGCTGGGATAGAAAAGACGTCTTAGGTTAACTCTGAGTGGAGGTCCATTAAGTGGAGGTCCATGACCTCACGAACTTGAAACATCCAAGTCACAGCAGCCACCCTTATCACAACAACTATGTCCGCCCCCTCCCCCTCACTGTATATCACCCTCAGTGGTAAGCTGACGTGTCGACAAACTCTAAGAGATTCTTGGGGTTTTTTTGGGTTTGTTTTTAATTGCCGTCATGCTACGGAATACATGCACACACAACGTTGGGTAGTTAACTTAGTTATATCATGTGCTAAACCAAGCATCAACTTCCTAACTGTGTACCACACATCAACTTTCTGTGTACCACACATCAACTTTCTGTGTACCACACATCAACTTTCTGTGTACCACACATCAACTATCTGTGTACCACACATCAACTTTCTGTGTACCACATATCAACTTCTGTGTACCACAGATAAACTTTCTGTCCGCGTGCGGGGGGGGGGGGGGGGAATAGGGGATTGGGGTATTAAACCTAAAAGATTGCATGACACGAAAATTATATGTACACGTTACTGTTACGTCAATGACAATTGACACATGTGTATAGAGGTTCGGGGGGGGGGGGGGGCTAAAGCGAACCTCGTGTTTGTTGATGGTTGGGGGGCTAACGCTAGTAACATTTGTGTTGATGGTGGAGGGGGGGGGGGGAGGGCTAAAGTGAACTACACGTTTGTTGATGGTTGGGGGAGGGAGGGGGGGGGGGGTGACGCTAGCTACATTTGTGTTGATGGTGAGGGGCTTGGCTTGTGTGAGAGAAGACAATACAAGACTAACTTAATCTCACGAGCAAGGCTTTTAAAAGTGTTTTCTTACTGGTGAATAATTTAGCCTGCTCATCTTTACAGAAGCTTTCCCAAAACGGAGAGGAGGGTGGGGTGGGGCAGGAGGGAGGGGTGGGACAGGGGAGGGGTGGGGGTTTCTAGAAATTAGTGGCGAGAAATACAACACACGTGGCAGTACAGTAGATTCAGTCGTGAGCAGTTTAGAAACCTGTCTCTCAACACAAGTCCAACGCACAGTGGCTCTGTTCACACACACACACACATACACATACACATACAAACACAGTACCTCTGTTCACATACACACACCACACACACACACACTAACACACACATATATACACACAGTACCTCTGTTTACACGCACACAGTAGCTCTACCCACTTTTACATTTTATCTTCTTCTCAGTCTGTGTATAAGGACACCCTCACCCTGACAACTGTGTGATCTCAACTACACCCACCCCACCACACAAACCCCTCACACCCACCCCACCACACAAACCCCTCACACCCACCCCACCACACAAACCCCTCACACCCACCTCACCACACAAACCCCTCACACCCACCCCACCAACACACACACACACACCCCACCAACACACACACACACCCCACCAACACCTACCTCACCAACACACAACTACCCTACCAGCATACACCCACCCCACCAACACACACACACACCCCACCAACACACACACACACCCCACCAACACCTACCTCACCAACACACAACTACCCTACCAGCATACACCCACCCCACCAACACACACTTACCCACACACCCACCCCACCACACAAACCCCTCACACCCACCCCACCAACACACACCCACCCCACCAACACACACCCACCCCACCAACACACCCAACACACAAACACCCACCCCACCAGCACACACTTACCCACACACCCACCCCACCACACAAACCCCTCACACCTACCCCACCAACACACACCCACCCCACCAACACACACCCACCCCACCAGCACACAAACACCCACCCCACCAGCACACACTTACCCACACACCCACCCCACCACACAAACCCCTCACACCTACCTCACCAACACACAACTACCCCTCACACCCACCCCACCAGCACACACTTACCCACACACCCACCCCACCACACAAACCCCTCACACCCACCCCACCAACACACAACTACCCCTCACACCTACCCCACCAGCACACACCAACCCCTCAAATCGACAAACCCCTCATTATAACCCCCTTGAACCATCTCGCCCTTAAGTGATGAGAGAAAAGCATTGTTAAATCTCGCGGTATCACCACAGGATCTCGCGCGTACACAGCGGGATCTCGCGATATCATCTCCACTTCACTTGCTAGATATTTTCTTTAACGTCAAATTTCACCTGCAAAAAAATAACAAAACGAAACTCAACAAAAATTCTCCCAATCCCACATATAAAAAGCGGCCTTATAATTTGTACGTTTCTAATTAGATACCATTTTTGCTTGTTCAAATTTTTAAAAAACTACTTCTAAAAATAGATGTATGTGACACGGTTCACGTGATTACCACGTGAGATTGTTTAAAGCATGCACAAACTCACCGAGGTATTCCCAACACAAAGGCTCCATTGTTGACGGAGTGGCTGTTTGACCTCCGACCTTTATCGCTTTGCCAGATGACGCCGGCTTTGAGGAATAGTGAGCTATGCTTGCCTAGCAACGGTGAATGTTTTGCTTAGCAACGCCATCACCTGTTTGGATTGCACACGCGGAACATCATCGTGATGTCATATAATCATTACGTAACATCATACTCGTCACGTGATCACCGTACGGCGTTATAATCACAGACACGCACCCTTAAAAAACATACACGCATCCTTAAACAAACATACACGCACCCTTATACAAACATACACTCACCCTTATACAAACATACACGCACCCTTATACAAACATACACTCACCCTTATACAAACATACACGCACCCTTATCCAAACATACACGCACCCTTGTACAAACATACACGCACCCTTATCCAAACATACACGCACCCTTATACAAACATACACGCACCCTTATACAAACATACACGCACCCTTGTACAAACATACACAGGGTGCTCACACAGTAAAACACCAATACCCACCCTGTACTAAATATGCACTACACACCTTCTGAAACACACATAAGAGCACACATTATTTACACACTCAGACCATCACAAGTTCTGCTCATAAGAGCACACATCTAACACAAATAATCATTCACTTGTAAAAAATGACTGTTTATTGTGTTTAAATTAACCTGTTCATTGTGTTTAAATTAACCTGTTCATTGTGTTTAAATTAACCTGTTTTTTTCTTTTGTCATTACAGGAGGTCGGCAGTATAATTGGCAAGGTAGGTAACTCGTGTGATAATTCTATGATCATTTAGGTAAATCATGTGATATTATAAGTAAATTATGTGATCATTTAGGTAACTTTTCTATGGTAGCAGCAGTAATGTTACAAAACGTTAGCTTTAAGAATGTCAATTATGAAGTCAACATTTTTATCCAGAAATTTCTTTTTACGCGATTAAAAATTAAACAAAATAACATAAAAGAGGCAATTTTTTTTTATTTCTAAGGAAAATTTTGCCAAGCATAGCAACAAATTTATTTTCGAAGACTAAATCCATTAAATTAATTACTTCCCCTGGCGTCTGTTGACATTGACAACGCGATTTGATCGATTTCCGCTTTCCCTGCAAGGGGAGAGGACTGCACTAGATGATTAAAGGGCAGTTGTCTGCCCATGATAACACGAATAAAGTTCGTAACGCTGACCTCTGTCTACGTCACACAATAGGAGGCAGCCAGTGACAGAACAGTGGCCAAAGATTATTTTCTGCAAAGATTATTTTCCCCAAAGATTATTTTCCTAGTTTGTTTTTTTTTCACCAAAGATTTTTCTTTTATATTTTCTTTCACCAAAGATCATTTTCCTAGTTTATTTTCCCCAAATATTATTTTTCTAGTTGTTTTTTTCCCTAAAGATTATTTTCCTAGTTTATTTTCCCCAAATATTATTTTTCTAGTGTTTTTTCCCTAAAGATTATTTTCCTAGTTTATTTTCCCCAAATATTATTTTTTTTAGTTTTTTTTCTAAAGATTGTTCTCCTAGTTTATTTTCCCCAAAGATTATTTTCCTACTCTATTTTCCCCGAAGATTATTTCCCTTGCCCAATCCTGACATTTTTCCCTCTAATTTACGGCCAACTTTTTTACATCGTTATTTTTTCCGGATCCACATTTTTATTATTGATTAATGAAAATTATTGTCGGAATATTTTTTTAATTGGCTAACCACCGCTATTTTAATTAGTATCATATTAATTGTGGAAAATGTGGTTGTACAATGTGGTAGCCAGCCATGGTTGCTAGCGTGTGTGGTTGTCAGCGAGTGTGGTTGTTAGCGTGTGTGGGTGTTAGCGTGTGTGGGTGTTAGCGTGTGTGGTTGTCAGCTTGTGTGGTTGTCAGCTTGTGTGGTTGTCAGCATGTGTGGTTGTCAGCGTGTGTGGTTGTCAGCGTGTGTGGTTGTTAGCGTGTGTGGGTGTCAGCGTGTGTGGGTGTCAGCGTGTGTGGGTGTCAGCGTGTGTGGGTGTCAGCGTGTGTGGGTGTCAGCGTGTGTGGTTGTCAGCGTGTGTGGTTGTTAGCGTGTGTGGTTGTCAGCTTGTGTGGTTGTTAGCGTGTGTGGTTGTCAGCGTGTGTGGTTGTCAGCGTGTGTGGTTGTCAGCGTGTGTGGTTGTCAGCGTGTGTGGTTGTTATCGTGTGTGGTTGTCAGCGTGTGTGGTTGTTAGCGTGTGTGGTTGTCAGCGTGTGTGGTTGTCAGCGTGTGTGGTTGTCAGCGTGTGTGGTTGTCAGCGTGTGTGGTTGTCAGCGTGTGTGGTTGTCAGCGTGTGTGGTTGTCAGCGTGTGTGGTTGTCAGCGTGTGTGGTTGTCAGCGTGTGTGGTTGTCAGCGTGTGTGGTTGTCATCGTGTGTGGTTATCAGCGTGTGTGGTTGTCAGTGTGTGTGGTTGTCAACGTGTGTGGTTGTCAGCGCTATTGGCATCCTGTGAAAGTTAAATGAAGCTTTAGCATTCTAGGCTATGGATAGTTTGCTAAATGTGGATGGGTGGCGCGCGGTGGATACATTTCACATAGTGGGTATGGACACGCATAGAGAATATGAACGTATGGATATATAGATAGATATATCCTTAAATTGACATGTTGAGAAAAAGCTAAAGAAGAATATTGTGGAACATTTGAAATATGCGGATAGCCTAAAGTTGATGAATGTGTGAAGTATCAGTGACATGAGAGGATGGACTTAATCTGGTGTTGATGTCGTCATAAGATGTTGATAAAGTCATAGATGTGGGGAGGGAATGGGTGGGGTGAACTGATGGGGTGTGGGTAGGGAATGGGTGGGGTGAACTGATGGGGTGTGGGTAGGGAATGGGTGGGGTCGACTCATGGGGTGTGGGTAGGGAATGGGTGGGGTCGACTCATGGGGTGTGGGTAGGGAATGTGTGGGGTCGACTCATGGGGTGTGGGGTGGACTGATGGGGTGTGGGTAGAGAATGGGTGGGGTCGACTCATGGGGTGTGGGTAGGGAATGGGTGGGTCGACTGATGGGGTGTGGGTAGGGAATGGGTGGGGTGGACTGCTGGGGTGTGGGGAGGGAATAGGTGGGGTGGACTGCTGGGGTGTGGGGAGGGAATGGGTGGGGTGGACTGCTGGGGTGTGGGGAGGGAATGGGTGGGGTGGACAGATGGGGTGTGGGTAGGGAATGGGTGGGGTCGACTCATGGGGTGTGGGTAGGGATTGGGTGGGGTCGACTTATGGGGTGTGGGTAGGGGATGGGTGGGTTGAATAAAAGAGGTTGGCAGATAAATGGAATGGGTCAAAGGAAGGGGGCGTGTCATATTAATGGGGTAGATTGACTGAAGGGGGCGTGGCAGATTAATAGGGTGGATCGACTGAAGGGTGCGTGGCAGATTAACAGGGTGGATTGACTGAAGGGGGCGTGGCATATTAATAGGGTGGATTGACTGAAGGGGGCGTGGCATATTAATGGGGTGGATCGACTGAAGGAGGCGTGGCAGATGAATGGGGTGTGGGTAACAGACTGCGATCAGCACTAATAGAGCGGTGAGTGGCATCAGACGTGACACAAAAAAAAAGGTGTCAAAAAAGAGTTAAAAACTTGAACTGCTGAAAACGTTTGAAAAACGTCTGGGTGGGGGGGGGGGTAGGTGACGAGATCTCCCCTGTCTGGATCCACTCCTGGCAGAATTCCGTCAAACGGCACAGGTAACAGACGCACATACAGGTGAGTTGAGCCAGGTAGATGTAGCTCCATCGTGACGCGCCCATTGGTTCAAAAATAAATGAATTGTATCTAAACCGGAAATGACGCGTGTTCTTTACCCAGAAGATTGCTGGGGATGGGGCAGTGGGGGTTGGGCTCGGGATTTTGGGGTGGGTCCGGGAGGGTGGGGTAGGCTCGGGAGGGTGGGGTAGGCTCGGGAGGGTGGGGTGGGCCCGGGAGGGTGGGGATGCTATTTTTTGTGGCCCTGTGCCATGTAGGTCACTGAGCTACCTTTTATGCTCTGTTAGGTGAATGACCTAGTTATGTAAGGAGAAAACCAATCAGTGATATCGAATAATTAATGACCTAGTTCTGTAAGGAGCAAACGAATCAGTGATATCGAATAATTAATGAGCGAGGTGGAGTAGGTGTAAGATGAACGATAAACGCGAGGAGAAATATTAAAGACGGTCCCTCGGTGTTAGTTGGTTTCGATCCCGCGATGTCGTGGTGATAAGAGGGTTGTGTCAGCGGCAATGACACTAGATCAGAACCAGACGGGATAATCTAGATCTATGTGGGGGCGGGGGGGTGGGGGGAGGGAGTTTGGGGGGAGGTGGATGGGGGGGAGGGGGTGGTGGTGGGGTGAACGGAACAATCTAGATCTAGGTGGGGGGACTGTTTGTGTGGTGTGGTGGGGGTGGTGGGTGAACGGAACAATCTAGATCTAGGTGGTGGGGGAGGGTGTGAACGGGACAATCTAGATGTAGGTAGTGGGACTTTACCTGGCGTGGTGTGGGTGGTGGGGTGGAGGGTGAGGGACGAAATATGTAGGTAATGGGATTGATTACTTATTGTCCTTTATGTGAATGTGGGGGGGGGTATATACGGAGGAGAGAGTGGTAACTATTTTAGCGCTAATTTACAATTTTAAGTGTCATGTTGACCCTACGAATGATTAATTCGAGAAGATTCGACATCAAAATTTAAAATATATCTGGTGTTTAAAGAAAACTGCGCTTCATTTCCTGGGGGTGATAAGTTGTTGAAATGATCAGTTCCTGAAATGTATAGCTCCTAAAACCAATACTACTCCTATAACGTTTGTTTCCTCGAGCCGGCACTAAGCTTACAATTTATAGTTCTTAAAATCGATTCAATGCCTATAAATTTAGTTCTTAGTCTAGGGCCTCTCCTAAAATGTTTTTTTATTTTATTTTGGATTTCTGAGAAACGGAAAGGGCTGGGGGAGGGGGGGGGGTAAATATCTGTTGATATGGAAAATGAGGTATTTAAATTCTTTGATATTTGGGAGGGTTGTCTTTATTAACTGCATTTAGCTGCCGATCGATTGTTTAATTGATTGATTGATTTTTTGAGATCTCCCTTCAGTTATTCCAGACATTTTTTTTTCTCTGCGCCTCACGCTGCCAGCGCGGTACCTGAGTGAGGCAGGTGACGCCCACTTTTTACACAATAACAAATCGATCAGCGATTGGTCCGGGACATCAAAAAGCTATTACCTAGCATGGTCAAATATCAGTTGATCGATACATAATCAATCATTAGGGATTGGGGATCGATCGATAAAGTGTAAGATAAAGGTAGTAGGTAGGGCATCTTTTCAAACAGGGCATATTTGCAAGCAGGGCATATTTGTAAGCAGGGCATATTTGTAAGCAGGGCATATTTACAAACAGGGCATATTTGCAAGCAGGGCATATTTACAAACAGGGCATATTTGCAAGCAGGGCATATTTACAAACTGGGAATATAATAAATGAAAATAAAAGCTTGGAAAATTGGATTTAAAATCTATTTAAAAAATTATCTGATGTCTTCAAAGACATTTTTGCCATTTACAAAACATATTCAACATGACATTTACAAAACATACACATCATGACATTTACAAAACATACACATTTACAAAACATACACAAAGCGACATTTACAAAACATACTGTTATGATGTATGTTTTATAGGTATTGAATTGAGTACAGGTTGGTGCGCACACATAGTGAACACATGGGTATGATGACGCGGTACGAAAGATAGTGACGTTTTAGGTTAGAGGGTTGGTTGCTATGAGTTGATGTGTGAGCAGTTGAATCCTTATCGTCGGTGTGGAAGGACGTGTGTGGTTGTAGATACGAGATTAAAAGATTTATATACGAATTACTTGATTCATCTTATTCCTGATTGTTCGTCGTGGATCTATTTGAATGTGACATAACCTAGGGGTTCTCAAGGTGTAATACTCTCTCCCTGGTATTGGAGAGGAGTCAAATGGTAGTGGCTGAGTCAAGTAAAGTAAACCCTCTCACTGCATAACTGTGGTACACATAGAGAACTCAGCAGTTATAACACATACCCAAGACGACATTTACATGGACATGTCCTATTCGACGCCCATATGAAATAACGTCCGCCATGAAAACTTGCCCACTATTATGGTCCCCTTTCACATAAACCCACCCATGCAACCCCACCCACACAACCCCACCGTCACAGCCCCCCCCCCCCCAACCCATCAACTTGGCGAGATGAACCAACATTTTTATCCACCATTTTTTGTGTCATCCTCTCACCTTGTTGCTTATTAAACTCATCCTTCTTATTGCTGCTTCTCATCATTTTTCCATCCTTTATTCATCCTTTATTCATCCTTTATTCATCCTTCATTCCACCTTCTCGCCTTTTCTTTAGACCGAGTCATTTGGTCTCCTGGAATCATCTGTTTTTGCTCTCCCGTTGATGAAAGACATTCCCTTTCCCCCCCCCCCCCCCCCCCCCGTCTTTTGACGGGCGGGGGGCTGAGTGACAGACACGATCCTATTGTGTGACGTCACTTGCGGGATTTCTAGCTCGCGCAGATTTGCGCACATTTTTCACCGGCAAAAATCCAAAGTTTCCACGCTCTTGATACCTCGTCAAATAGTTTTTGTTCAAATCTGCGCTTCCATATTTAACTAAAAAATTCAATTTGAGACAATTTCTGGATGTTGATAAGGAGTGTGTGAAATCTGAGTGCAATGGGCCGAATACAAAAGTTTGGGGGGGGGGGGGGGGGGGTCGGCGTGGTCTGGTGGGTTATGCTCATGGTTGCTAAACCAAAAAAATTAAGAGCGAAGAAGAAGAAGAAAATATTGTGTATGGTGTGTGCTGTATGTTGAATCTATGTTGCTTTGCTATAACAAGTGTCGTATAAATGTGTATGGCATTGATTGATTGATTGATTGGTTGGTTGATTGTTTGATTCATTGATTCATTGATTGATTGATTCATTGATTGATTGATTGATTGATTGATTGGTTGGTTGATTGGTTGGTTGATTGGTTGATTGTTTGTTTGATTGATTGTTTGATTAATTGATTGATTGATTGGTTGATTGGTTAATTGGTTGATTGATTGATTGGTTGATTGATTGAATGATTGGTTGATTGGTTAATTGGTTGGTTGATTGATTGATTGATTGAATGATTGAATGATTGGTTGGTTGATTGGTTAATTGGTTAATTGGTTGATTGATTGATTGATTGGTTGATTGATTGATTGATTGAACAAGGTTATAAATGCACTCAATACACCGTGAAATATACCACAGATGAAGCCACCAACTATTTGTGATACGTCCAGAGTTCCTCCCTCCCCCTGAGACACATTTACCTGCCCCCCCCCCCCCTCAAAGCATACATACCCTCAAACGAAATCAAATTTATATACAAAACATATATTTCAACCAGTGAAATTTGTTACCCATATGTTACCCATTAGAACATATCCACTATATGTTATCCATTAGTACATATCCACCATATGTTATTCATTAAAATGTACCCGCCATTCTTTATCTGCTAAAAGTTCACAATGTAATTTTTTTTTTTTAAACCCCAAGCCACTTCCCCGCCCCCTACGCCCCCGCCCCCTACGCCCCCGCCCCCTACGCCCCCGCCCCCTACGCCCCCGCCCCCTCCAACCGTTCCGATTCAAACAGAACTTTGACCACGGAAGCGGATATGTCTTCTTATTGTCGAATTAAAGAGCTGTCAGAACTGTTTCGTTAATTAAATTACTCCTGGCTTTAATTCTTTTCTGCCACCGGGGCTTACAAATTATAAAAGTTTTAAAAAAAAACGGCATTCAATAACGTCAGACCAGAAGATGGCTTTTATGACGAAAAATGGCTTTCGTGGGGAAAAATGGCTTTCATGACGGAAAAATGGCTTTCCAATTATGATAGTTCCTCATCGATTGAGTGGGTTGTGATGAAGATGATTCCATTTTCTCCGTTGCTAATTATTTTTCTGAAGAAAGTTGAAAAATTGTATATAATTAGCGGCAGAATATTTGACATTTTTTTTTAAATAAAGGTCTGAAAGTAAATGATAAATCAGTATGTATGATAAGTCAGTATCAGGATAAGTCAGTCTCAGCATAAACCAACATCGTCATGATAAGACAACATCATGATGAGTCGACATCATGATGATTAGCCAAATTGTAATCATAAACCAGGGTGAAATAGAGAGCAGCATCTAGCCGATGATCTCTGGAAGATGAGAATCATGGCGGCATGGTGTGTTCGCGGTATTGTTAGGGTTAGCTGGCATGGACGGGGGGGGGGGAGAATCTTTTAAAAATCAATGGCAAGGGAAATAACGCGGAACCGTAGGCTGTAGTTCTCTATGAAAGATACCATAGGCAGTTTTTCACCATCACTGATACTCTATGCAGTAATCCTTAATCCATGTTACTATAGACAGTAATCCTTAATCCGTGCTACTGTAGGCAGTAGTAGTACATCTATGCTTCTGTAAGTAGTCGTACATCTCTGCTACCGTAGACAGTAGTACACCAATGCTACCGTAGACAGTAGTCATACATCTATGTTACCATCCTTAAACGCCAACTGTTGTTACTATTTTTGACGATGGCAAATGTAACGAAAAAATGTATCTTTCTTTTTTTTTATTTCCAGAAAGGCGACAATATCAAGAAATTTAGAGAGGATGTAAGTACTAGTCTGTCTGTTTGTCTGTTTATTAGTCTGTCTGCTTGTCTGCTTATTTGTCTGTCTGTTTGTCTGTTTATTTGTCTGTCTGCTTGAGCGTTTATTAGTCTGCTTGTCTGTTTATTAGTCTGTCTGCTTGTCTGTTTATTAGTCTGTCTGCTTGTCTGTTTATTAGTCTGTCTGCTTGTCTGTTTATTAGTCTGTCTGCTTGTCTGTTTATTAGTCTCTCTGCTTGTCTGTTTATTTGTCTGCTTGTCTGTTTATTAGTCTGTCTACTTGTCTGTTTATTAGTCTGTTTGCTTGTCTGTTTACTAGTCTGTCTGCTTGTCTGTTTATTAGTCTGCTCGTCTGTTTATTAGTCTGTCTGCTTGTCTGTGTATTAGTCTCTCTAGTCTGTCTACTTGTCTGCTCTGATCTGTAAGTTCCCACATTGCAATAAACTTCACAATTTTATTACCTCGTTTCTCTTCACATTTTCTTGTTCGATCTCGCTAGGCCTAAAAACATTTTAAATTTGATTTCTCTAACCCTTTAAAGCCTTCAAGTGTATTTATATAGGGAAAAAATCCAGTCGTAAGGGGGTTAAATAAAGAAAAGATGTCTGCCAACATGCAGCTTGCACTAGAAGCTAAAGACTGGGCAGTCATAGATCTCGTAAAGCTATTCACACTTTCCGTGTAATGCTGAAATTTGAACCGGTTAGCGTTTCGACCAAAGGCCATCGTATAAAAAAGCAGAACTGCGGATTATATAACACTGACAACTGTTTAAAGACAATAGACAGAATCACACACCCCCTTAGGGATAGAAACTCCCCCTCCCACCTTTAAGGACCATAGCATTAGTTGTCTACATAGTTTTATTGTGGTAAAAATTCTCACAATACACCACGTTAGCACTCTCACCTTTCGTTACTTTATGTTTGAAGCACATACCGTGCCCTGAACCATGAACCCAACCGTGACCTTAACCATGACCCCAACCATGCCCCCAACCATGACCCCAACCATGACCCCAACCATGAACCCAACCATGACCCCAACCATGACCCCAACCATGAACCCAACCATGACCCCAACCATGACCCCAACCATGAACCCAACCGTGACCCTAGCCGTGACCCCAACCGTGACCCCAACCGTGACCCCAACCATGACCCCAACCGTGACCTTAACCATGACCCCAACCGTGACCCCAACCGTGACCCCAACCATGACCCCAACCGTGACCTTAACCATGAACCCAGCCGTGACCCCAACAGTGAACCCAGCCGTGACCCCAACTATGACCCCAACCATGACCCCAACCGTGACCTTAACCATGACCCCAACCGTGACCCCAACCGTGACCCCAACCATGACCCCAACCGTGACCTTAACCATGACCCTAGCCGTGACCCCAACAGTGAACCCAGCCGTGACCCCAACAGTGAACCCAGCCGTGACCCCAACTATGACCCCAACCACGACCCCACCGTGACCCCAACCAAGACCCCAACCATAAACCCCAACAATTGTCGGTAAAAAAATGTAATATATAAAATGCCCAAACCACGTATAATAAATCCCAAGAAAACGTTCTAATCCCGTCCATCAAAACAAGTTCCTACCCCCCCCCCCAGCCCTCCACACCCAACACGTGCGGGCACGGAGCATATGTTACCCCCCCCCCCCCCACCCCACCCTACCCGCCCCACGGCCATCAGATTTAGCTGCAGCTGTGACGGCCAGCGGTGTACATTCATATATCGATCTGATAGCGCGAGTCATCCGGGGATCGATTCACGGTCAGAACTAATATCACAACTAACTCAATTTCCGCAGCGGGACTTTTCAGATCTGTATCAGCCACCTCACACCCCAACACCTCCACCTCAAAACCCGACACCTACACAGGTGTAATGTGCTATCATGTTCGCCAAATCTGTTTATATATATATATATATATATATATATATATATATATATATATATATATATATATATATATATATATATATAAAATATATATATATATATATATATATATATATATATATATATATATATATATATATATATATATATATATATGTGTGTGTGTGTGTGTGTGTGTGTGTGTGTGTGTGTGTATGTATATAGTACCTTCTGGTACAGTAGAGTTCACCAACTTCAGAGACCTGGGCATAAGTTATTACCATAGCAGGCAATACACACATGTTATTAAATGTCTCCCTATGATGTGGCATGTAATAAGTTTCTCCGTCATGCGACATCAAATTATCTGATAGGTTATTGGTTTCTGTGTTGTGTGTTTTCATGTGTGTTTCAACATGGTGTGTTGTTTCATGTGTGTATCAACATGTTGTGTCCTTTCATGTGTGTATCAACATGGTGTGTTGTTTCATGTGTGTTTCAACATGGTGTGTTGTTTCATGTGTGTATCAACATGGTGTGTTGTTTCATGTGTCTATCAACATGGTGTGTTGTTTCATGTGTGTATCAACATGGTGTGTTGTTCGCTAGTTTGTGCTACAGACACTGTGTACCACAGTGTAGGAGACACATAGACACACTGTACTAGACAATATAAGGACACATTGACACACTGTACTAGACAATATAAGGACACATTGACACACTGTACTAGACAATATAAGGACACATTGACACACTGTACTAGACAATATAAGGACACATTGACACACTGTACTGGACAATATAAGGACATATTGACACACTGTACTAGACAATATAAGGACACATAGACACACTGTACTAGACAATACCCTAAACACATAGACACATAGACACACTGTTTTAGACAATGTTACAGTACTGTTTTTGCCCGTCCGTCCCCCTACCTTTATTCAATTAAAACATTCGATTGCAAACCTTCTTATAACAAACACCTATGTGTAAGGCCTATGTGTGTGACACATACACATCTGTTACACACCCAAGCTGACACATTCAGCCGTACAAATGTTACACACCCATTCACTCACTCAAAGTTCTTAGAAAGTTCCTTAAGTCGCCGATAATCCCGTCTAATCAGATTATCGTAATCCCCACAAAAAATGTTAGCAATCTCTTTGGGCTTTGATCCCGCCTCTTTCGACAGCTGGCGTGGCGGTATCGATACTTCTCCGGACTCGTGTGTGCCCACGTTTGTCACGTAATCGATACGATTAACCCCACTACGACCGCCGGCTTAACCCTTTGTATCCTCGCAAGAAATCAGTAACGTTTTAATCTCTGAGCTGGGGTTGAAGTCACTTTTAGCTCGGGTTAAATTTACCTTTAGCTCGGATTAAATTCACCTTTAGCTCAGTTAAAGTCACCTTTAGCTCAGTTAAAGTCACCTTTAGCTCGGGTTAAAGTCACCATTAGCTCGGGTTAAAGTCACCTTTAGCTCGGGTTAAAGTCGCCTTTAGCTCGGGTTAAAGTCACTTTTAGCTCGGGTTAAAGTCGCCTTTAGCTGGGGTTTGTCACCTTTAACTCTGGTTAAAGTCACCTTTAACTCTGGTTAAAGTCACTTTTAGCTCGGGTTAAAGTCACTTTTAGCTCGGGTTAAAGTCACCTTTAGCTCGGGTTAAAGTCACCTTTAGCTCAGGTTAAAGTCACCTTTAGCTCGGGGTAAAGTCAGCATTAGCTCAGGTTAAAGTCACCTTTAGCTCGGGTTAAAGTCACCTTTAGCTCGCAATAAAGTCACCTTTAGCTCCGGTTAAAGTCACCTTTAGCTCGGGTTAAAGTCACCTTTAGCTCGGGTTAAAGTTAACAGAGATCAAGTAGACCGAAGAGAGATAAAAGATGAATTAGAACAATGCATGGGCAGTCCATGTTCTGTTTCTGTTACTGACGCCATTTTTTCAATCCACACAACTTTTTTTGTTTACGTTATTAAATCTGGCATTTGTAAGTGACTTCCCTTTAATCCCAAAATTTAAAAACTCAAACGTACTAAAACCCCTTCTGTCCCAATGGCATATAACCGAATCCCGTTTCTCTAAGCTGATCCTAATTACCGCGACTAATTTGGGCGATAAATTAGGGCGTGTAGGACGGCACGACGATAGCTGAGTTTGAGCAACGTTTGGGGGGTGGGGGGGGGGGGGGTGAGTCATAATTGAACGCTGATCGAAGATCGATCGTCCAATAGGCGACACGTTTCTCAGGTTAATTACTCGCTCTCACCCGTCCCTCGGGCTCACGGGAACGTGTGGAGCTTAGAGCTAATTACCTCGTCAGAGCTTAGGGCTACTTATGGCGCTGTATGGTAACAGTTAACATGGGGAGCTTAAAGTTACTTATGTGGTATGTTAACATCAAGACGAGGAGCTTGTGAGCTAAATATATTTTAATGCTGACCGACATAAAATTATGTTGTATGACAACATGAAGCATTGCTTTATACTAAATTTTATACTGTAGAATAGGTTAGTTTTGTATAGGTTATCTTCATAATAGAATGTGCATCGTTATGACTGATATTACATGGACAATTGTATTGGGATAAAGAATCATGGGAAGGCAAATCATGAGAAAAATAGATAAAGGTAAAAAATTGAACAAAAAATGTGTTATATAATACACCTTGATATATGCAACCCCTACGTTATCTACAACATCCACTTCATTCGCATCAGCCACAACATTAACATCATAACCAACATCCAAACATCTACATCATTCACATCATCTTCATCGTTCATAACATCCACAACAACATCCACCATCTACACCATTCACAGTATCCACATCACCCAATACATCCGCATCATCAACAAAAATCACAACATCAACAACAACATCCACCACAACATCTATACCATTCACAACATCCACATCACCTACATGAATCTAACCCACCATCTCCTGAAAACAACATGACCGCCGCCTATTTGCCTAAATCCAGAAACAAATGCAATGTTTGATGTTTGTGTTCAAGATTTCGTTCCGTTTCCTTTTTGTTTCGTCTTTTCAAATTTGAATTCCGTTTGATGAAAGGTAGGAGAGTTTTGAATGCTGCCTGCTTGCAATGTTTACTTGCGCAGGAAATTAAACGGCCGTGTTTTTGTTTTCCCGGGGAGGTCGATGCTTCTAGAAGCATGACGGAGATCTAATCTGTTTGTTTAGAGTGACGTCATCCGTCTTTAATTAAAATAATGGATTTTTGAATTTTGTTTAATTATTGCTTCGTCAAACCTGTAAGGTGGTTTTTAAGGTAATTTAGATTACATGTAAAGTTAATGATTTTTTTTCTCTCATGCGTTGTGGCTTGCTTGTCGTTTATAGACATTGGCGACATTTTCTGTAGGACATTCATGACATTTGGTATTCAATGCTTAAGGACATTTTATTTTCAATATATGACATTTAGAACATTTGTACAGAAAACACCAGGAAAAAATATTGCACTTGGCATTTTACATAGGACATTTTTACAGAGGACATTTAGGACTGTGTGTAGAGGACATTCAGGACATTGTGTACAGAGGACTTTAGAACATTTTATATCCATGCATTCATAGCCATGAACACTGTATCAAGCTTGTTACACGTGTTCTCCGTGTTTGTGGGTGACTCGTGTGTTAAGTGTGTGGGTGACACGTGTGTTAGTTGTGTGGGTAACACGTGTGTTAAGTGTGTGGGTGACACGTGTGTTAAGTGTGTGGGTGACACGTGTGTTAAGTGTGTGGGTGACACGTGTGTTGAGTGTGTGGGTGACACGTGTGTTAAGTGTGTGGGTGACTCGTGTGCTAAGTGTGTGGGTGACTCGTGTGCTAAGTGTGTGGGTGACACGTGTGTTACGTGTGTGGGTGACACGTGTGTTAAGTGTGTGGGTGACACGTGTGTTGTGTCAGTGGACACCCCTGTGCTGTAACATGTCTGCACATAAGTGCGTCTGTCTGTCCGCTCTCCCCACCAATATAACGGGCTGACCTTTGTTAATCCAGGGATGACCTTTGTTAATCCAGCGTCCATTTAAATCGGACCTCGTTTGCGTGGCCTCCCACGTGCCTTCATTAAACGCCCGCCATTTTTACCCGCCCGTTTATGCGGGCCACCAAAAAAAATAAAATTATTTGTCAATTTTCTATAAGAAATGGGAAGCAACTCCAGTTAGAAAACAGGATGTGGGACAAAAAATCGAATCTTTTCAATGGCGACATCAGCTACAGAAGACATCGATCCATGAGGTGGGGGAGGGGGGGGGGGGGGCAGTCAGGGTGACCATGTTTAGAAGCTTCTAGGCCTCATTCAGGTCGCTGTTTGTCGCAGATGGGCCTATAATATTGATACATTTTTTGTTCATTGATTGGTTTTAGCTGATGGGTTATGGTGTATCTAATGAAGTTAGGCTCTTCTGTTTGATGCGTAGAGAGTTGATAGGTAGGCTTAGGACACCAATGCATAATTTGTTGATGGGTAGACTTAAATTTTTAAAATTGTAAGACTCTAGAGTAAGCTCCCTTAAATTAAAACCTGGTAAGACTCTAGATTAAGCTTCCTTAAATTAAAACCTGGTAAGACTCCAGATTAAGCTCCCTTAAATTAAAACCTGGTAAGACTCTAGATTAAGCTCCCTTAAATTAAAACCTGGTAAGACTCTAGAGTAAGCTCCCTTAAATTAAAACCTGGTAAGACTCTAGAGTAAGCTCCCTTAAATTAAAACCTGGTAAGACTCTAGAGTAAGCTCCCTTAAATTAAAACCTGGTAAGACTCTAGAGTAAGCTCTCCTTAAAATTAGTTCCACGGTTCAGTGCACTGTGGAATTTGTTTAATCTGGCCGAAAATAGCGGTGAAAAGATTTTCATTACGGCTTAGCAGCCGGCCTGCATCTGTTGCCGGCAGTGTGGCCGGCCCGCATCTGTTGCCGGCAGTGTGGCGGGATATTATCGTCAGGAGCTGTAAGAAATCTCGTCTGGTCGATATGTGCATGTCGTCTGCGGACAGCTGGCCTGACGGTATCGATTCTACGACACGTGACCCTAGCCACTTGGGGGGGGGGGGGGGGGGACTTAGTGACGTGTGTTAGCACCGTGACTGAGTGACGTGTATTGAGAGCTTAGCACCGTACAGTGTTGCCGTATATGACGTAAGGAAGAAGTTTCTGCTGAATATTTCCGGATTCTTGAGGCACGCGCACTGACGTAAATAGGTTTCTGCACCTAACTAGGATACGTCCACCCCTAAAAAACATATATATATATATATATATATATATATATATATATATATATATATATATATATATATATATATATATATATATATATATATATATAATATCACCCGGATGATTTGGGAAGTTTGTACGGTTACCTGTGGGTCGACCTAAGTCAGATTACCTTTACCTAGACCAATAGGTCAACCTTTTTGCTTACCTCGGTTACACTTCAACTGACCTATCAGTTCGACTTTTTACTGACATTACCTTCTATCTCTCTCTCTTTTTCCCTCGTTTTCTCTTTGTCTCACTTACACACGCACATACCCACACACACACACTTTCCCACACACATACACACACACGTACGTACACACACCATTATTTTTAATCGTTCCAAACCGAATGGCTTCCACATCACCAGAATGGTTATAAAATCTGAAACATGCCGGCAATAAAATTTTCAACTGTTGGCTTTATAAATAGCTGACCTAAAAACAATTCCCCCCCCCCCCTCCCCTCCCTTGGTTTACAAGATTAAAAACGAAATGTTGCCTAGATCCACACATCAATTTAACTCCCCTTGTCCGCGGACTGCTCACATCTGGAGACCATTCTCTGATTGTTTGAAATCTGCTTCACCCTTTCATGTGACGTCTGCTTACGCTATGCTCACCGGATGTGACGTAACCGAGCGCGCGTTTTCTAAACTTCTTTTCTTTAAAACTGAAGAAAAGTGGCGAGCTCTCGAAGCGGCTACTTACTTTTATTTTTATACTTGGTTGAATGATAATTTATGGACTCGTTTATTGCTTCTGCGCAGGACCGGATATATTGTTTTGTCTGTCTTTGATTTAAATGCCCATCTGCTAAATTGATGAGGTGGCATTTCCCGTTTTTGTCTTGCCGGCTATTTATTTCTCTGCAGCAATTTCACCATCGGAGCTGTCAATTGAAACTTTTGTGAACGTAAACCATAGACCGGTTTAATTTACACCACAGGCCAGCTGTTTTTTGCAACTGAAGGCCAGTTTTCTGTTTGAGATAGTCGTTAACTTTTAACTCACACAAAAGAAAACCGCAGCGAATCGTGTTTTATTTTTAAGGTTCGTTTAGGAAACTTTATAATCTATAAATTTGGTTAACGAAATTCAGGATTTGTTTGAAGTAATTTATCATTGGAATACAAAGCATGTCGGCCCAAGGGAAAGCAACTCGCCTTAACCTAGCACTCAGGTCTACCCCTCTCACGATTCTAGATCTCTATGATGATCATGACTTTTCTCAAACCATAATGTTAGACCACTAAACACCACGCCCCCACTAACAAGTCTTCCTACACCCCGCCCCCACCCCACGTCTTCCTACACCCCGCCCCCACCCCACAAGTCTCCCTACACGACGCCCCAACCCCACAAGTCTCCCTACACCACGCCCCCACCCCTCAAGTCTCCCAACACCACGCCCCCACCCCACAAGTCTCGCTACGCCACGCCCCCACCCCGCAAGTCTCCCTACACCACGCCCCCACACAATCTGCCCACATCGTTAAATGGTACTCCCTACATACACATTTCTTCCCACACCACAAATACACATCTCAACCTACACCGCCAAACACCCCCACAAACCCATATCACCACATCCCACACATAATTTCGACACCGCTAAACACCACACCCCTCAAAGCCATATCTTGTAAACATCATACCCCAAAAACGCATATATCTCCACTCTACTATACACCACACCCCACAAACCCATAGTTCCCCCACACACACCACACCTCACAGCCCATATTTCCCACACACACCACAAACCACAAACTCCCTCCCACACTTTTATACGCGGCGCCAACGACTGAAATAAAAACCTCCAATCAAGCGGCGCTGTTTCGTGACATTTGGCCCAACTAAAAAGTTAACTTTATTAATGTCACGCAAGAACGTTAATTTACATTGATTCACCCATTGTCAGCATTCGGCGCCAACATTTAATTGCCCCATAATCCCGTGCTATTGAGTTATGTACCCTGAATCAAGGGAAACAACTTTAGTGTTATGTTTATTCCAACATATTTTTTTTCCTTTTTGCCCTTCCCCTACCATTTGTTTTAATTCTGCTTTAATGTTAGACTGATTTGTGCAATGTGTGATGACGTCATGTTGTCGTCTGCCCACAGAGCGGCGCTAAAATCAACATCTCAGACGGTTCCTGCCCAGAGAGGATTGTCACTGTGACCGGGTCCACAGACAACATCCATCGGGCATTTGGCTTCATCTGCAAGAAGTTTGAGGAGGTAGGTCTTGGGGCTGGGGAGTTTAAGTAGTAGAGGGAATGGGGAATTTTAACTGTAGAGGGAATGGGGTATTTTAGCAGTAGGAGGAATGGGGTATTTTAGCTGAAGAGGGAATGGGGAATTTTAACTGTAGAGGGAATGGGGAATTTTAACTGTAGAGGGAATGGGGTATTTTAGCAGTAGGAGGAATGGGGTATTTTAGCTGTTGAGGGAATCGAAAATTTCAGTAGTAGAGGGAATGGGGAATTTTGGCAGAAGAGGGAATGGGAAGTTTTAGCAGTAGAGGGAATGGGGAATTTTAGCTGTAAAGGGAATGGGGAGTTTTAGCAGTAGAGGGAATGGGGAATTTTAGCTGTAAAGGGAATGGGGAATTTTTACTGTAGAGGGAATGGGGAATTTTAACTGTAGAGGGAATGGGGTATTTTAGCAGTAGGGGGAATGCGGTATTTTAGCAGAAGTGGGAATGGGATCTTTAGCTGTAGAGGGAATGGGGAATTTCAGTAGTAGAGGGAATGGGGAATTTTAGCTGTAAAGGGAATGGGGAATTTTAACTGTAGAGGGAATGGGGAATTTTAACTGTAGAGGGAATGGGGTATTTTAGCAGTAGGGGGAATGCGGTATTTTAGCAGAAGTGGGAATGGGATCTTTAGCTGTAGAGGGAATGGGGAATTTCAGTAGTAGAGGGAATGGGGAATTTTAGCTGTAGAGGGAATGAGGAGTTTTAGCAGTAGAGGGAATGGGGGATTTTAGTACTAGAAGGAATGGGGAATTTCAGTAGTAGAGGGAATGGGGAATTTTGGCAGAATAGGGAATGGGGAGTTTTAGCAGTAGAGGGAATGGGGAATTTTAGAAGTAGAGGGAATGGGAATTTGGCAGAAGAGGGAATGGGGGAATTCGGCAGATGAGGGAATGCGTGGGTATTAGTAGCTGAGGGAATGGGGATTTAAATAGCTCACCCAAAAGTGATTTTACAAAAGGGTTTTTGTCGGTGTTTTGAAAATCTTCAAATCGGATCTATTGGTGTTCAGTGACAGCGTGGTAAAATTTGGTTTATCCACCTCCCCCCCCCCCCTCCCCGTGGTAAAATTTGGTCTATCCACCTCCCCCCCCCCCCCCCCTCCCCGTGGTAAAATTTGGTTTATCCACCTCCCAGTGGTAAAAGGTGGTTTTCAATTCCCCAGTGGTAAATTTGGTTTCTGTTGGCCTTATTAGTGTGTGGTATTCCATTAGCCAGGTCTAATTATGTTTTTGGCGCCATCCTCCATCTTGCTATGTAATGTGCAGTATGTAATTAAAAACTAGAATCAGACCCCTCACCTTTTCACCATGTGCTGAAGAATTTGGTTTTCAAATATTTTCTTAATGATGTTTTGAATTTCAAATTGTTCAATCAAATGTTTGAAATGGCAACAAACTTAAATGAAAGTTGTTGTTTTTTTCAATCAAATGTTTGAAATGGCAACAAACTTTAATTTTTTTTTCTCTGGTTAGGATCTCCAAAACACGCCGACCACACCCAAACCCCCCGTGACGCTACGTCTGGTGGTGCCAGCCAGCCAATGTGGTTCTCTCATCGGCAAGCAGGGCTGTAAGATCAAAGAGATCAGAGAGGTAGGTTCTAGCACCTGTTGGCGGACAGCCGGCTGTAGGGGACAGCTGGCTGTAGGGGACAGCTGGCTGTAGGGGACAGCTGGTGGGGACAGCTGGCTGTAGGGGACAGCTGGCTGTAGGGGACAGCTGGCTGTAGGGGACAGCTGGCTGTAGGGGACAGCTGGCTGTAGGGGACAGCTGGCTGTAGGGGACAGCTGGCTGTAGGGGACAGCTGGCTGTAGGGGACAGCTGGCTGTAGGGGACAGCTGGCTGTAGGGGACAGCTGGGGGACAGCTGGCTGTAGGGGACAGCTGGCTGTAGGGGACAGCTGGCTGTAGGGGACAGCTGGCTGTAGGGGACAGCTGGCTGTAGGGGACAGCTGGCTGTAGCGGACAGCTGGCTGTAGGGGTTGGCTATATAAGTTGAGTTGTTGTCGTTTCACCTGTTACAGGTGGGTTGTATAAGTTGGGTTGTTGTCGTTTCATCAGTTATAGAGGTGGGCTGTATAAGTTGGGTTGTTGTCGTTTCATCAGTTATAGAGGTGGGCTGTATAAGTTGGGTTGTTGTCGTTTCATCAGTTATAGAGGTGGGCTGTATAAGTTGGGTTGTTGTCGTTTCATCAGTTATAGAGGTGGGCTGTATAAGTTGGGTTGTTGTCGTTTCATCAGTTATAGAGGTGGGCTGTATAAGTTGGGTTGTTGTCGTTTCATCAGTTATAGAGGTGGGCTGTATAAGTTGGGTTGTTGTTGTTTCATCAGTTATAGAGGTGGGCTGTATAAATTGGGTTGTTGTCGTTTCATCAGTTATAGAGGTGGGCTGTATAAGTTGGGTTGTTGTTGTTTCATCAGTTATAGAGGTGGGCTGTATAAGTTGGGTGTTGTTGTTTCATCAGTTATAGAGGTGGACTGTATAAGTTGGGTTGTTGTTGTTTCATCAGTTATAGAGGTGGGCTGTTTACGTCACAGGTGTAGACATCGAGGCAGACAGAAAACTTGTCAAAGAAAATTTAGTTCTTGAAATTACCACCCCTTCAGTAGCCGGAGATTGCCGGCACATTAGTGGAATTTCAGCCTTCAGTAGCCGGAAAATGCCGGTGTATCGTCAAGTGAAGCAACATAGTTAAACCTGTTGGTCCCTGGCGTCATGACTCCGTCAGAAATCAAAGCCCGTCTCGTACTAGTTGCCACACTCTACACACAAAATGGCTTCCTAGTTTTTTTAGTTTGGCCGCGCTACCTGAAGAAATCTGGCAAATCAATATAAAAAAAAATTCCCTTTTACCGGAGCTGTCGCGTTATTATTATTCGTTTTCCCCTCTAGTTTTTAATTATAAATTTCTCTCTCTTAATTTCTATGGCCCATTTTTTACAAGCTTTTTTTCAGTTTGTGGGAGGGTGTGTCTATTTGTGGTCAGATCTTTGATTCAAGTTAGGCCGATTTCTAACAGAGCTGTAATTTTTAGCGCAATTTCCATACTGACAATTATTAATTCGTTATTTCTGGATGGATGTGTGTCCGCAGCTTTAAGTCGTATCTCCTCCTCAACGAAGCAATATCGAAGACTAGTTCCAAAGCAAATATGTTAAGCAAGTTCCGAGGATGATTGTGGGCCAAAAAAATTCCCGGAATTCCTTCCTGAATTTCCCGGAAAAGCCAAAAAACATCGAAAAAATGCAGTTTTTGGCCCATATCTCGGCAACCAGACCACTTAGCGACTTGAAACATTTACCAATCGATTCCTGCCATAATTTAGAACAATATTGCCTAAGAAAGTTTTCAAAAATATCCTTTCGTTCGGTCACAAAAATTTTTTAGGATAACATACGGAAATTGGGCTTAAATTGTCACTAGACTTTTTATTAACGTGTTTTTCAAACTCTGCACATAAGCACAATGTAATTAAATATAATTTTAATATATTTCGATTCTAAACTAGTGATAAAACGTTAATTTAAAGCTTACTAGATTTTCCCACGCTTTCTTTAACTTGCTTTCTCTGTTTGTTTGTCTTTCCAATCAAATCTTGCGATCGAAATTTCTGGCACTTCCCAGTTAGCTAGCGCGCTGAAATTTTCAGGGAAGCTTTCTTTTGGATGACCATAGAATATTCAATTGTTATTATTACTAAATTGATCAATGGAAACATTTTATTGAGCATTTTAGACCGCTATATTATCTATATATATAATTCTCCTCTGCGAGCCATTAGAAAAAAAACGAGCGACGCGTAGCTCGCCTCTCTCTTGCCGCGCGCAGTGAAGCGAACGATCCCACGTCTTTACAGGCTTAGGGGCAGATAATTTAGTTTGAACCGACTTTAAACTTACAGGAGGTAACTATTACCACTGGTGGCCAGTTTGGGGGAGACGATATGGTCGAGTGGTTGGGCACACGATTGCTATCCCACTCGACACGGGTTCAAATCTATGTGTTCTAGTCAGTAACCAGCCCTCGTCCTAACCGCTATCAACTAACCTCTGACAATCATTCACTTGCGACTGAGACCGAAGAAGAAAGGGTCTCTCGTTTTTTACGAGTTGTCTTTTTACGAGTTGTCTTCGTTTACCCAAAAAAAAAGTGAAAAGATAAAATCGATAGCAAGATTTCAATGCAAACAAACAGACAAAGACTAAAAAGTAGAAAATAATAATCATTAAAAAAGTTTTTAAAAAACCCACGTTTTCTGATTGAACTAAAAAGTAGAAAATAAATACTATACATCACAATAATGCAAGCGATCACTCTACTATAAGCGATGAAAAACGTGGGGCGCCGTGATTTTCTTACAGTTTCTAATACTGTTGACTCTCTACAAGCTCCCTAATAAAAGTAAATAGTATTATCTAATCAATAGTAATATAACTTTTACTTCGGCGCCCCACGTTTTTCATCGCTTATAGTAGAGTGATCGCTTGCATTATTGTGATGTATAGTATTTATTTTCTACTTTTTAGTTCAATCAGAAAACGTGGGTTTTTTTAAACTTTTTTAATGATTATTATTGTATAGATTGACAAAAGGGGAGATAACTAGACTATCGTTGTGGTGAGGTGTTTATGATTCTATTATAGCCCAACTCTAGTGGCTATAAAGGGCAGATAAGCATCGTCCCGTGTCAATTGCAAGCTACCAATCGGGTTTAAAGCAAATATTTATAGATACGGTCGTCGTGTGTAAAACGATCAGAATGGAGAGAGTAAGACTTATGTAAGAACTTATTTTAGCAAACTTTTATTTACACTAAAAATACTAAATTATTGTTAAGGTTTGTTAAAAAAATTATCCTATTGCAATTTTTTTTAAAATATGAAGATGGTGAAAAACAGTAGTTCACCCCTGCGAGACAACCACTTCTCTCTGCCCCCCCCCCCCCACACACACACACACACCCATCCATACCGTTGGTCACGAGTTCTGTAGATCTGTGCTCAGCTATTGTTTCCTGTGTAACCGCTTTATTTTATTGTCTGTTTGTTTCAAGTGGAGAATAAAATCGTTTCCCGCACCAACAATACAACCATTTTTTCCCTCCCCTGATGCATTGTACTGCAAGGAACTGTAACTCGTGCAGATCGCATGGATGTAAACAATCACAAGTGGATTATCTCCCCCGATCAGACCCCGCTCTCCCTACTGAGTAAACAAAAAAGTCATGTCTGAGACGGCAAAAATTGATGACGTTTATCCCTTGTTTACAAAACCTTTTCCGTGTCTGCCTGCAACGGTAGGAAAGGCGGGGTTGGTTGGGGAGGGGGGGGGGGTGCAGGGAGGGAGGGGTGGGGGAAAGAGAAACTACATTTTTTATATTGGCCAGCAATCTGGAAAATTAGCTTACCGCTCGGTGCCGTTGAGAGCAGTTAGGGTGATGGGGCATCACAACAAAGCATGTAGTTCACTACCGTAACAAAGATGTGCTTAACACAGATGGGCTAAGTTTCCCGACGTAACAAAGAAGTGGTCAATTTATTACCATAACAAAGATGGGCTAATTTCACGACCATAACAAAGATTTGTAGCCTTCATCAACCTAACAAAGATGTGCTAAGCCCATCAGCGTAACAAAGAGGTGCTAAATTCATCAACCTAACAAAGGTGCTAAGCCCATCAGCGTAACAAAGAGGTGCTAAATTCATCAACCTAACAAAGGTGCTAAGCTCATCAGTGTAACAATAAGGTGCTAAGGTTACCACCTAACAAAGAGTTGCTAAGGTCACCAACCTAACAAAGAGTTGCTAAGGTCACCAACCTAACAAAGAGGTGCTAAGGTCACCACCTAACAAAGAGGTGCTAAGGTCACCAACCGAACAAAGAGGTGCTAAGGTCACCAACTAACAAAGAGGTGCTAGGGTCACCAACCAACTAACAAAGAGGTGCTAAGGTCACCAACCTAACAAATTGGTGCTAAGGTCACCAACCTAACAAAGAGGTGCTAAGCTCATCAACCTAACAAAGAGGTGCTAAGGTCACCAACCTAACAAAGAGGTGCTAAGGTCACCAACCGAACAAAGAGGTGCTAAGGTCACCAACCTAACAAAGAGGTGCTAAGCTCATCAACCGAACAAAGAGGTGCTAAGGTCACCAACCGAACAAAGAGGTGCTAAGGTCAGTAACTAACAAAGAGGTGCTAAGCTCATCAACCGAACAAAGAGGTGCTAAGGTCACCAACCGAACAAAGAGGTGCTAAGGTCACCAACTAACAAAGAGGTGCTAAGGTCACCAACCGAACAAAGAGGTGCTAAGGTCACCAACCTAACAAAGAGGTGCTAAGCTCATCAACCGAACAAAGAGGTGCTAAGGTCACCAACCGAACAAAGGGGTGCTAAGGTCACCAACTAACAAAGAGGTGCTAAGGTCACCAACCGAACAAAGAGGTGCTAAGGTCACCAACCTAACAAAGAGGTGCTAAGCTCATCAACCGAACAAAGAGGTGCTAAGGTCACCAACCGAACAAAGAGGTGCTAAGGTCACCAACCGAACAAAGAGGTGCTAAGGTCACCAACTAACAAAGAGGTGCTAAGGTC